TCTGGTCATTCAAGTATAAAATGTTCTATCACAGCCTCCAAGTCACACAACTCCATGGGCATTATTTGCATTGTAATCTTTATAAATAGAATCTCCTACAGCCTAACTCGAATAAATTATAATGGGAATGGTGCTCTTGGAGTTTTTCAATATGGTGCTGTGGCCTAAAGTCGCTTTAACATAAAAATCATAGTCTTAATTCAATATTTTAAAATATGTTGTCCAATATATTAAAGAATATTCTTCACTCAAAAGTAAGATTTCTCCCACCCACCCTACCTTTGACCCAGATCCTGGCTGTTGGCAGACCAGCAGCTTTCAGGGAATAGTATGTTACAAACTTTGCTTAACCCTTTTGGATTGGATTGTAGGGTGGAGGGTAGAGGCAGTGTCTCACCTTCATTTAGTCACTTTCAATGCCTCTCCTGCCTTGCAGCAGTATACTCAAAGCCTCTTATTCTTAGTTTATTCTCAATCTTTGAAGACCATCCTCTTGGACAAGATACCTATTAAATGACCCCAGGCTTATATGGTTACCACTTATTTTTTATCTAGTCTTTAGAATTCACATAGTTTTGAGCCACCATTAGAACATAGTGCAGCTAGTCCTGGTCCGGGTGCCAGATTCTGTCCCGGTTGCCCCTCTTCCAGGCCAGCTCTCTGCTATGGCTTGGTAGTGCAGTGGAGGATGGCCCAAGTTCTTGGGCCCTGTACCCGCATGGGAGACCAGGAGAAACACCTGGCTCCTGGCTTCGGATCAGCGCGATGCACTGGCCTCAGTGCACCGGCCGCGGTGGCCATTGGAGGGTGAACCAACAGCAAAGGAAGACCTTTCTCTCTGTCTCTCTCTCTCACTGTCCACTCTGCCTGTCAAAAAAAAAAAAAAAAGAACATAGTGCAGCACCTTCATAAGGGTACTTCTTCATCCTGTTATCATAGGCTTCATTGGTAGGCTTCATTTAGGGTCAGGCATTACTAACCTGTACTCCCCAGTCAGATCTGGGAACCAGGTGAAAGGAGTAATGAATTTCCTTTGAGTGTAAAACTTAAGGGGTGGTGCCCCAAGAAACCCCTTCAGCAATCAAGGTAAATAGCATTTTAAATAAATACTAAAAAATAAATACTGGCACAGAATAAATACTAGCATCTCACCATGATGAATAATATAAAAAGTTTAAAGAAAACATTAGGGTAGGGGATACTTACTGAGTTCCATGGTGTCTTGAGGTACAGTGGGGACAGTCATCATCAGTGTTCCTTTATAATGCATTTCTCTTTCCATTAAAATAATCATGAAAAAAATCTTCCCAGTTGCCATCATCTATGTTGTGAATGTTGAAACTTAGCATTAGTCACCACCATTGGAATATAGGCTCTGTGATGTTACATCTCACTTTGAATGCATTTTTATATTATTGAATTAAATTTACCAATTTAAATTAGAGTTAACCATCATCTATCCATCCATTCATCTGTCCATACATTCATCTATCCATCTACTTTTTGGATTTGTGTATGAAGTAAAATAAAGACAATCTTCAAATGCTAATGATTAATCCATCTTAAGAGTTAAACTACTGACTTAAGAGTTAAACTACTGAAGTGGAAATGTTTACAGTTACAAAAGAAATACTAAGATGATGTCTCATGAAATAGGCACTGAGTACAAATGATACATAAAATTTAAGGGAGCAACAATGCATCTGACCCTAAATGGCAGAAATGTTCCACAAAATATGTTATGCTACCAATTCCTCTCTTCTGCTCACATTTCTGCTTCTATAGATATAATCTTGTGACCTTATTTGTTTTTTTAAAAGATTTATTTATTTATCTGAAAGAAGAGAGAATCTTCTAACTGCTGGTTTACTCCCCAGATGGCTGCAACGCCCAGAGCTGCACTGATCTGGAGCCAGGAGCTTCTTCCAGGTCTCCTACGTGGCTGCAGGGGCCCAAGGACTTGGGCCATCTTCCACTGCTTTCCCAGGCCATAGCAGAGCTGGATCAGAAGTAGAGCAGCCAGGACTCAAACCGGTGCCCATATGGGATGCAGGCACTTCAGGCAGTGGCTTTTTTTTTTTTTTTTTACACTTCATCTACCTTGGAGGTAGCTGTTAACAGAGGACTAAATTAAACTTTGCATCAAAAGACACAGTTATCCATGCCATTTATAGTCTTTGAGATTTGTTTTTCAATAGTTTGAAAAACTTTTCAAACATTTTAAGAATGTTACATTAAATGAATAATATGGTCAATAATATTTTCAATTTATTTAGTTTACTTCATGTAGAACTACCATCCCCAATGATTTTGAATGATCAAGGATAATTCTTGAAAATCAGGTAAGGCACTGTTGGCCTATTTGTGTAATCAAGAACAAATTAGCAAGGTTCCCTCTTGAGTTCAACTGCAAAGTGTTGTTCTGTAGAGTATAGTTGTTACCTGAGGTTGCTGTGGTTAACTGACTGACCTTGCTCCATAATCACAACTTACAATGAATTTGGCTTAACAACTTAAACTGCAACATGCCAGTCACACAGGGATGGATTTTGTAGAACCATTTTTGCTGGGAATAGTATAATTGTCATTTGAATTAACTGTAATCCCAAAAATTGTCTGCCTATGGCACATGAACTCTGAAACCCCAAATACTAAAATTTACTATGTCAACTGATCCATATAGTACTGAAACAGAAACATAAATCAGATGGAATTTCATACCATGCTGTTTACCTGATATATACTGTCTAAAGAGTTTTATTTATTTATTTATTTGACAGGCAGAGTGGACAGTGAGAGAGAGAGACAGAGAGAAAGGTCTTCCTTTGCCGTTGGTTCACCCTCCAATGGCTGCTGTGGCCAGCTCGCTGCGGCCAGCGCACCGCGCTGATCCGAAGCCAGGAGCCAGGTGTTTCTCCTGGTCTCCCATGCGGGTGCAGGGCCCAAGCACTTGGGCCATCCTCCACTGCACTCCGGGCCACAGCAGAGAGCTGGCCTGGAAGAGGGGCAACCAGGACAGAATTCGGCGCCCTAACCGGGACTAGAACCCGGTGTGCCGGCGCCGCAGGTGGAGGATTAGCCTAGAGCCGCGGTGCCGGCCTAAAGAGGTTTTGTACATTAGTCCCTGCTGCTATTTGAAAGGCTATATTTAAACTGAATTACAACAGCTTTCCTACAGTGAAAGATAGATATGTTCAAAGAATGATTTAGGGCCCAATGACACTAGGAAATCTATAGCCACATGGCTACAAGTGAGCAGAAGGTTGGTGAAACTGAACATGTTATGAAATCCACATTTCTAATAAACATTTTGCAAGGAATAAAATGGTGATTCAAGGAACATGTACAAGATCCCTTAATATTTTTATTAACTTTGTAATCATTATATGAAAGAATACATTTCACTTACATAGTACAAAGAATAATGCAATAAATACCCTTTTACTCACCCCCAATTGCTTTCTTTTTTTTTAAAGATTTATTTATTTATTTGAAAGGCAGAGTTACAGAGGCAGAGAGAGAGAGAGAGAGAGGTCTTCCATCTGCTGGTTCATTCCCCAAATGGCCACAATGGCTGGAGCTGGGCTGACCCAAAGCCAGGAGCTTCTTCTGGGTCTCCCAGGTGGGTGCATCTTTTACTGCTTTCCCAGGCCATAGTAGAGAGCTGAATCAGAAGTGGATCAGCCAGGACTCGAACTGGTGCCCATATGGGATGCAGGCACTGCAGGTGGTGGCTTTACCCGCTATGCCACAGGTCTGGCCCTTACCTCCAATTTCAAAAGTAGAATATTACAGGAGGCATATCCCTTTGGTGCTCACTATTTTCAAATTCCAGTGGCTATCTAAGCTGCTGAGATGTCTTCCCTGCAAACATTCCTGTGCCTTAAAACATGAATATCTACGGCAGACAGAGCATGCTGAAGTTAAGGCCACCAGAAGCAGCCTTCAGGTAATAATGAGTAGAGGTTGGTGGATGAAAACCCAGGCTTCCTTGCCTTCAGATAAGATGGCTTTAAGGTGTATTTTATAAGTCTCAAAAAGGTTCACAGTGAAATCAAACCCTGTTGTTCACAGTAATATCCTGCTTATCAACTCCCTCTGTGTAGACATGCTCTTCTCCCCAAGTTCTCTATCAATGTTTCCTATAATAAATCACTTATATTCAAATATTTATGTTAGGATTTGTTTCTGGTAGAATTTAACAATTACCAATACTGTAGAAGTAACCTGAGTTCATCCCGAATCTCAGCTGTCACTCTCTTCCCAACCAAGGATAACTACTATTATGATTTTTTTAAGTTTCTCTTGCTTTCCTTTTATTATAGTTTTTACTGAATATAAGAGTGCTCCAAAAATCATGGAAAGTGGAATTAAATATAAATTTCATTTTGTTGCAAAAAATTTAAATCCGTGCATAGTTTCTACATAATACACATTTTCCATTTACTCTTGACAGATCCTTTGCATGTTAAGGATATTAATAATGCATTGGTTTGCTGTAAGAAGCTACAGACTGGGTGACTACAACAACAGAAATTAATTTTCTCACAATTCTAGAGGTTGGAGGTCTAAGATGAAGGTATAGGCAGTGTTGTTTGGGCCACAAGGGAAGGATATATTCCAGGTCTTTCTCCTTGGCTTGTAGATGGCTGTCTTCTCCCTATACGTTCGCATCACCTTTTCTCTTTAATTATATGTTTATAATCAAATTCTCTTTATCTTGTAAGGACATCTGTGATATTGAATCAGGTTCCACTATAATGAGTTCATTTTAACTAAATTATTTCTTTAAAGACTCTGTCTCCAAACATGGTTATATTCAGAAGTGTTGGCAGTTAGAATTTCAATATGTAAATTTAGGAAGGGACGCAATTCAACTGCAAACAGTAACTAAGTTTTTCAGGCTTTTTAAAACAAATATCTTTGAGCTGTATCAGTTTATTTTATACCATGTGCATTTTTTGTGACTAATTTTTTAAACCATTTTTTTTATTTGAAAGGCAAAGATAGAGGGAGATCTCCCACCTACCAGTCCACTTCAAAGATGCATGTAACAGCTAAATCCAAGACTTGGGAAGCAATCTATGTCTCCTATATGGGAAAGCAGGGACCTCCCAGGGTGTGTATGAACAGGAAGCTGAAATTGGAAGCAGAGCTGGAACCTGAATCCAGGCACGCCAATATGGAATGTGCGTATCCCAAGTGTTGGTGTCTTAAATGTTATGGCAAACACCTCCCACTGTGATTTTTAAAAAACTGAACATTATATTTTTAATGTTTACCCATAGGTTAGTCCCAGATTTTTTCAATATATCTCTCATAATATGTATATAGATGTGAAATTGCTGAGTCAGAACATGTACATTTTTAAAAGTTACATTTCCTAGTAAAGTCAGAAGATTGAATACATGTATTTAATTTTATTTCCTTTCAAAAATCCCACTAAAACTTTTAACATGGCAAAAATAGATTGGCAGAGAGAAGAGATAATATTAATAAAAATCTTGAATGGTAAACTACTTGGTAAACTGAGAAAGTTAAATCTAAGCTGATGGAGATGATGTGATAGGAAAGATCCACCAAATCAATGTAATTTATACTTTGAAACATCTAAAGGCTTCAGAAGATAATAGGTACCTTCAGAACATTGGATAAAAGAGGGGCTGGTTGAAATATAGTGAATTGATAGAAAGCTTTTAAAGAAGCAATTCTGTAACCACATCACCTTTCCTATAACCACTCCCTTGGATAATTATCCCTCATAGTTAGTGGAATTGTCTGCAGAGTGTAAAATAGGAGTACTCTTGATCTGGGAATACCAGGCAAAATGGAGGACACAAATGCAATAACAAAATAGGAAGATTAATTGAATGCATGCAAATATTTACAGATCCATAATGTTTTGATAGTCTTCTTTGGAGGACCTGACCAGCTCATGTGAAAGTCCTAAACAATATGCCATTACACTTTCCCCAACAAATGCCCACCTAGATCACCCTGCAGGGAAATTCACTGTTGTTAAGCCCACCCGCTAGGCCTTTAGTCTCAATGATTTAGAAATGCCCCTTTATCAAGACATTTGAGGGAAAGAAACCCCTAATATGAAACATAGCGATGAAAACAAATGTGCCCTCAATTCTCCAGATTGTGAAAACAGAAATCAGGAAATCCCCTATGAAATTATTCCAGAAAATTTTCCCCAGTTGAAAGATAATAGTTTCTACAATGAATTGGCCCATGAAATGCTCAGCACAATGGGTGAAAGTAGTACTATATTAAGGCACATTATAAAATTTTATAACACTGTGTGAGGGTGAAAAGATGTTTTTATAAAGTTCTGTGATTAGAGGGTGGAATGGCAAAGAGTAAGGGACACAGTGGATTTGAATTCCTCAATAGCAATACAACTAGAAGATAAAGGAGCATTGAACTTGCATATATAAAGGAAATTTTTGATTTTTTCTCAATCTGTGGTTCCATACCAACCTAAACTATCAATAGAATGTTAGGGTAGATTTTAACCATTCAGGTCTCACAATATTTATCTCAAAAGCATTTTCTCTAGGAAGTTGCTAGAATAAATATTTTTGTACAGCTTGAATTTCAAAAAAATGCCTTTGAAATAGGGGAAAATGGGAGAAATAGAATACCAAAATACGTTTTCTTCAAAATGACATATCAATGTACATTCCCTTAGCAGTACATGGGACAATTCCCTTAGGCCATGTCCTCATCAATAATTTTTTTCCCCTTAAATTCTGATAGAAATCATTGTATTTCCATCTGGGCCTGGTGTTTTCTTTATGGGAAGAATTTTAAAATGAATTTAAATTTCTTTAATTTTAATAATACTATGCATATTTTATAATTTTTGAGATCTGTTTCAGTAAATTATATTTTTCTAGAATGTTTTTGTCTTGTCTAAAATTTTTAATTTTTTGCACAAATATATTTAATTTATTTTTATTGATTTTGTCTTCATTTTGTATGTTATAGACTAAAATTGTCTTCTCCCCAACTTCATGACTCTAAGAAATTTTATATGTATACTTGTATGTGTATATATGCATATGCAGCTTTTACTACAGAAGTAATATTTATATATATATATATATATTTATTGTTGAAAATTAGTACAAACTAAAAGGAGAGAGTAACCTTCTGTAATCCCCCTATGTAGAAACTACTGCTCCTGTCATCTGTCTTAGATTGCATTTCCTGAAAAATAGAACTGAAGACAGAGCACTGGATACAGGAAGGTGATGGGGGAGTGGTCTCAGGCTTAGCACCTATGGGAAAATGAAGGCAGTGGAACTGAGCCGAGGGCAGAATTTGATCTGCTCTGCATTAGCAATAAAGTCCTCAACCAGTCCTTTTGGAGGTATGGAATTGGAATAGCCCTTGAGTCTTTCCTCACTTAGGCAAGATGTTGGGAATTTATTCACTTCCTTGAGTAGTGATTAGATGCAGGCTACCCATGGGGAGGGCTGTAAGCTTGAGCCATGTAGCTCCCTTAGACTTGGAACAGTTTCTGAGGATGAACCTGGCTGTGAGCTGGCATTGCCAGAGGTCAACCGTCCTGGCAGTTTGGAGAATAAATGTCATGGTTCTGTATATGTGTGGAGGGAGGACGAGAAGTGTATGTGGAGGATGTGGGGGAATTATATCAGAACTCCATAACATCCACAAAAATCTTCCTTGATTAATATAATGAGTTCATCTCATCTGGGAATATCTGCTCCAGGATTCTGGTTGGTCTCTTTCTGAGGAAATATAAGAGTAGAAGTTTTATGGGATGAATTATTGACCTTGTAGTATCAGCTTTCCCTGGGATCTCAACAGAGTTTTACTGTGTCTCTTTTCTTTTATGCAGTCTGGAGAAATGAGACTTAATAGTAAAACTTGTTCTCAAGAATCACTTCCTTTTGGTGAATTAAATGTTAATCATGTATGCTATTCAGCAGGGCTGCTTGCATAGCAACCTAGAGCTATTGTGGATCCCTTTTCTACTTTCAGGTGTGCTGAAAGATAACAGCTATCCCTATCACTCACTAAATGGGTTAGAACCATATTTCCAAGTGTAGAATAATTGTCTCTAAAACTGATAAGAGATCTCTCCTCCCTTCAGAGAAAAGTACATCTTTCTTTGGTGGCCACTTATTTCCATTGGGGCCTCACCCACAGAGGTCCTTTATGTAGAACATTTTTTGCAAGAGTGTCCTGGCTTTCCGTGCCTGAAATGCTCCCCTGGGCTTTTCAGTGAGACCAGAATGCCTTAAAGGCTGATTCTGAGGTTGGAGTGCTACTTAAAGCAGTTGTCCTTCTATGAGTCTGCTATGTGGACTGCTTCACATGTTGGAGCCTTCACTCCTTTTTAATTCTGTGTATTATTATTTCCAAACACTTAGTACTATTTATATGATCACTTGAACACTTGATCTTATCTATATGGTCACTTTACCACTTAGTCCTATCCATTTGATCTCTATAACACTTAAGCTGCTTGTTTTTACCAGCCAGCTTAAGGGAACTTGGGGTCCCATGGCAAGTTGTTAAGCTGCACCCTTAGATGTAAGTCCATAAAGGTGTATGCAGGACTATACTGCTTTGCAGTTATGAACTTAATGCATTTCATATTACTTTAGGATCTTGGTAATTCTTCCCATTGTGCCCACCTTCCCACCCATACTCCCACCCCCTTCCTCTTCCCTTCCTTATTCTCAGTCTTATTGTTTACTAAGATCTATTTTCAATTAACTTTATACATATATGGTTAACTCTATGTTAAGTAGAGTTCAATGATTATATGAAAGATAATGAAAATATTATAAAGGAAAAGAAGAGAAAATAAAAAAAATATAGAATAAAAAGCTGTTCTTCAACAGTCAAAAGAAGGGCTGTTCAAAGTCATTGTTTCTCAAAGGGTCAATTTTATTTCTTTTTTTAAAAGATTTTATTTATTTTATTTGAGAGGTAGAGTTACAGACAGTGAGAGGGAGAGACAGAGAAAAGGTCTTTGTTCTGTTGGTTCACTCCCCAAATGGTACCACAGCTGTAGCTGTGCCAATCCGAAGCAAGGAGCCAGGAGCTTCTTCCAGGTATCCCACATGGGTGCAGGGGCCCAAGGACTTGGGCCATTTTCTACTGGTTTTCCAGGCCATAGCAGGGAGCTGAATTGGAAGTGGAGCAGCTAGGATTACAACCGGTGCCCATATGGGATGCTGGTGCAGCAGGCAGAGGATTGACCTGCGCCATAGCACTGGCCCCAATTTTATTTCTATATGTTGCATTTTAGTTGCTCTATTAGTTATCACAGATCAAGGAGAACACATAGAATTTGTCCCTTTGGAACTGGCTTATTTCACTAAGTATGACATTTTCCACTTTCATCCATTTTGTTGCAAATGACTGGACTTTTTTTTTTAAATTGTTGTTTAGAATTCCATGGTGTACATATCCTATAATTTGTTTATCCAGTCTTCAGTTGATGGGCATTTGGGTTGATTCCCTGTCTTTGCTATTGAGAATTGAGCTGCAATAAACATGGAGGTACAGATATACAGATAGCTCTTTCATATGCTGATTTCATTTCCCTTGGGTAAATTCCCAGGAGTGGGATGGCTGGGTCATATGGTAGGTCTATATTCAGACCTCTGAGGTATCTCCACACTCTTCTATAGTGGCTTTACCAGTTTACATTCCTACCAACAGTGGATTAGGGTACCTTTTTCTCCACATCCTCTCCACCATTTTTTTATTTATTTGACAGATAGAGTTAAACAGTGAGAGAGAGACAGAGAGAAAGCTCTTCCTTCTGTTGGTTCACCCCCCCCTCAAATGGCCGGCCAGAGCTACACTGATCCAAGCGAGGAGCCAGGTGCTTCCTCCTGGTCTCCCATGTGAGTGCAGGGACCAAAGCATTTGGGCCATCTGTCGTGAACTTTTTTAGGTAAATAGCTTATAAAAAGAAAGGATGGGCGGGTGCTGCGACTCACTAGGCTAATCCTCCGTCTGCAGCGCCAGCACCCTGGGTTCTAGTCCCGGTTGGGGCACTGGATTCTGTCCGGGTTGCTCCTCTTCCAGGCCAGCTCTCTGCTGTGGCCCAGGAAGGCAGTGGAGGATGGCCCAGGTGTTTGGGCCCTGTGCCTGCATGGGAGACCAGGGGGAGGCACCTGGCTCTTGGCTTCTGGCTTCTGATTGGCGCAGCGCACCAGCTGTGGCGGCCATTTGGGGAGTGAACCAACGGAAGGAAGACCTTTCTCTGTCTCTCTCTCACTAACTCTGCCTGTCCAAAAAAAAAAAAAAAAAGATGTAATTGTACATGTCTTAAGAAGAATGGAGTTTGTTTCTACAAGAGGTTAGTTTGAACAGCTTCAAAATAGTAAAGACACATTTACAGAAAGCATCTTCTGACTTAGGCTATCACAAGTAAATGAATAACTGGCTGAAATATCATAGATGGTAATGACTATGTTACACTTGAAACTTGTTTAGGGCAAGTAAAAGAGCACTTTGAGTATTATGCTGAAACAAACATATTGCAGCAAGTGCTCTTTGATTACCTTTGCAATAAAATGCTCACCTCTGCCCCTTTTTTCCTCAGGTAAGAGATAATAGAATAATTGATGATGGATTTCTTTTATCTGTGTTGTATGGGAGTAATATGGAGAAAGGAAGTTTGGATGCATAAAAAGGAATAGACAGCATAAGTAAGGAACATCTGTGATGAGTACTGCCAACTCAGCTGAATTTAATCTTTATTTATTTGAAAGTCAGAGTTATACAGAGAGGGGAGGCAGAAAGAGCAAGAGCAAGAGAGAGAGAGGTCTCCCATCCACTGGTTCACTCCCCAGATGGCCACAATGGCAGGAGCTGTGCCGATCCGAAGCCAGGAGCCAGGAGCTTCCTCCTGGTTTTGCACGCAGGTGCAGAGGCCCAAGGACTTGGGCCATCTTTTACTGCTTTCCCAGGCCATAGCAGAGAGCTAGAATGGAAGTGGAGCAGCTGGGTCTTGAACCAGTGCCCATAAGGGATGCCAGCACTTCAAACCAGGGCATTAACCCACTGCGCCACAGTGCCAGCCCTTAATTTAATCTTTTGTAGTTGAAGTTCATAATGATTCTCTCTCAAGACTGCATAATTAGGATGTAAAAGATCATGGAAAGTACAACAAAAATAAATTTATTTTGGTGCACAAATTTTTGAAATCCATGCATTTGAAGGGTCTTGAAAAAATTTATGAAAAATTCATCTTATGGAAAAACTATGCATGGATTTCTTTGCATGAAAATAAACTTCTAGTTCCATTTTCTTATGAACTTTTTGAAGTTCCTTCAAATGTTTGCAGGTGAAGAAAGATAGTGCGGATGATGTCTGCACTGTAATCTCCATTGAGGTGTTGGTGAAATTCACAGAAACAAGCTAGAAATGACCTTTTCTCAAAGGCAATGATCCTCCTTCTTTGTCTTTTTATTTATTTATTTATTTATTTATTTATGTTGGTCATAGTCTTCCCATGGCTCCTTTCAAAGCTGGACTGATCTCCTGGTTCCAGTAATGAATGGTGAACATTAGACCTCTAGATGTCAATTTTGCCCTTCTGAATTGCTCCTGGATGTGGATCCAGCTCATCAGGATATATTTAGATGATAAATCAGAAATAGCACCTTTGCCCTCTATTCCCAGATCCTAGGAACAAGTGGTGAATTTCCTTGTTGTTGCAGTATCTGCAACAGATAAAATGTCAGCCATGCGACATCCAGTTTGTCTTTTTTTTCCTGATAATTTCATCAGTCTGCCCTT